CGTGCCGTCACGTCCCCCAGAGCTGCCATCGGATCCTCTCCTGATGCTCGGGGAGCGCTCAGGGCTGGGATTAAACTGGGTCAGGGCTCAGCGGGTGCCACCGTCGCCCTTTGTTCCCGGCCCCGTTCCTGGCTCGACGGGCGCGTGTTTTTTTCGGCCGTTTGCCCCCGACGCATCCCTTGGCCGGTGCCAAACAAAGACCCTGGAAATGTCGTCATCTTTCGGGAAAGGAACCCAGCCAGAAATATCCTTCTTTGCAAACATTTGCCTTGGTGCTGCAGCACGTGCTCGAGCATCAACGAGTCACCCCTTCCTTCCCTGCCTGCACAGTGGGGTCACAGGGACCCCCCAAGGGCTGGTGATGGGGGTCCCTGCTCGATGTCACGTCCTAGGAGGGCAGACCAGGGCGAGGATGCAGGTGGAAAAATGGGGATGTCCCCAGGGGTTGGTTACAACAGTGCAAAGGGGAGATGTCCCCCAGTTGCCCAAAGCAACTGCAAAAACGAGCTCTAAGCCAAGCGTTGCTTTAGGCAGCCCACGTTAGTTGGTTTGAAAAGTTGGCCAAGTTTGGATGAAACCAGCATCAACAAATGGCAATATCTTTATTTTGAAACTTATCAGTGCAAACACACCCAACGTGCCACTAATTCTGCCGTTGCTCGTTGGGGATAATGGTTACATTCATTATGGTTTCACTATATTGAAATTAGCTTTGCACTAGATTCAAATGAGCATGCGTGCTCCTGGCGGGTATAGTGGGGCGAGATTTTGGTGCTCTGAATTGAGTCGGTGGGTTTTGACCAGAAAAGCCCCTTTCAGGTCTGTTTTGTGGCAAATGGTCGCGTGGTGACTTTGTGACTGCTCTGTGCGCAGGGCGGAAGAAGGAGGTGCAGCGACAAGATGGCCATGGCGCAGCGCTCAGCAGTTCTCCTCTTCCTTTTTGTCACACGAGGTACGTTGGTGGGTTCCTCCTGGGGTGAGGGTGGTGGGTTGTGGGGGTTGGTGGCTTTTGTGGGCTGGAGAGTTGGAGCTTTTTGGGTGAGATACTGGAACGAGTTGACCAGAAAAGCTGCGGATGGGTCGCCCCCGGAAGCGTTCTAAGCAAGTTCGGACGGGGCTTGGAGCATCTTGGTCTGGTGGGAGGTGTCCCTGTCCATGGCTGAGAGGGTATGGTGGCTTGATCCCGGCTGGCGGCCGCCACAGCTGCTCTCTTACCCCCACTTCTCAGCTAGAAGGAGGGAGAAAATATCACCAGGTGCCTGTGGTTTAACATAAGGGTGGGGGATCACCCGCAGCCGCCGTCCTGTGCAAAACTGGCTCCATTTTTGGGGAAGTTAGTTAAATTTATTAATAGTAACCTCCACCACTCCTTTTTCCTCCATGGAGGGGACTCCTCACTCTTCTCCTGGGCAGTTGTGGGCTCCCTCTCATAGGAGATGATCTTCACACGCTTTCTCCATTGTCAGTCTCTCCGTGCGGTGCGGTCCTTCGGGGGAAACTGCTCTGGCATGGGTCTCAACAGTCCTGCCAGCCAACCTGCCCTGGCGTGGGCTTCCCACGGGGTCACAGCCCCCTTGAGGCACCCGCCCGCTCCCATGTGGGGTCCTCCATGGGCTACAGGTGGACATCTACACCCCGTCACCTTCATGGGCTGCAGGGGACAGCTGCCTTGCCAGGGGCTTCATCACCATGTGGGGGACTTGGGGCAAGCATATCCTCCCCCCTCTCCTCACCGTCCGTGGGCTCTGCACGTGTTCTCAGTCCTCTCTCTGCCACTTGTTGTGTGGGGCGGTTCTTTTTCCCTGCTTCTGAAATATATTTTCACAGAGGCGTTCCTGTCCCATCGTCACTGACAGGATCAGCCTTGGCCGGCACTGCCAGGTCCACCACTGCACCTTGTCCCAAAGCACCACATGGGCAGGTCTTTTCATAGAATGGCCTTAGAGATCATCTAATCCAACCCCCTGTCATGAGCAGGGCCGCCTCTCAACTAGATCAGGCTACTCAAGGC